GGAAGAATTACCTCACCATTTCAGTCACTAATAGGGGATTCTTGTCAGTTATGCTAATTTGCTAAATACATAAAAATTGTATGCACTCTATGTTATGTGTGTATCTTTGGTGCTTCCCATCTAGCAAGTTGTGCACCTGTGGATCTACAGATCCTTAGAAAGGTAACCTATTTTATCACCTAACTAGGTCTGGCTTGCGCTTTTAGGACAAACAAAAAGGCATCACTACCAGTTGGACTTTATTAAAATAGATTGCATTAAATACCAAGTTAGTGAAGTTAAGGGTATACAGAGAAACTGTAAATTTAGATATGAAAATATTCAGCTATTAAAAAGGACACATGCATAGAATTGTAAAAATAGAAAACAAGTAAATCTATTGATGCATAATATATATATATATTTGACCTTTGACTTTGATTATACTTTTACTGACCTACACATATATATGAAACTGTATACTTTTACTCAAACACAGGCATATGTGTGTTTCTTCAAATTCAAGATTCTAGATATTCCTTAAGTTAGACATTACTGAAAATTACCCATATTTCTATGGTAGACAACTCTACATAGACACAAATGCCAACATATTGCAATATATCAAAATAAAGCCATATAAAAATAGTTGGAAAGCTTCAACATATATTTTTCCAGAATCTTTGCAAAGTTACTTAAACATGAGAAGTTTTTCAATCTATAATGTGCATATAGCAGGGAAGCAGACATATTTGTAGAAGCTGTGGTCTTAAGAAAGTCTCCTACCTTTATACAGTGAAAGGTTTAGAAAATATTAATTCATTCCTCCCTACGTGGACACAATTCCTATTCCTTTAATATTTGTGAGTAGTTGAATTGACACACAGTAGAAAAAGTAATCCTTGCATCCTGAATCAACAGATTTGGAAAAACAGATGTGTATGGATTCTATCACTAAAACTATCTGGAAACCAGACAAACAAGAAGCTCCTTCTCTTTCTGGAATTGCTGAGTGCTATTCAGAGAGCTGCCCTGCTTCACAAACATGCCCAAAACAACTCAGCATTAATAAATTTCAAACAGAAATATGGTGAACCAGAGCTAAGCTACCAGAGCTAACTTTGATTCCGCAAAGGATCTTTCTTGACCAAGCATTAGAAAAATTGTGCCAAAACTATTTTTGGCAAGAAGATATATGTTAGAGGCTAAATTCTAAGTAAATATGAAGACATGTAAAAAAATTAGTTCCAATGCTGTTATGCTGGCTTTACACCATTTCAAAATACGTCTTATCATCTATCTTTCTCTTTTCTTATAACTCTTCATGGCTCTTTGCTAATATTAAATGAGTCATATATTTCCATCCACACCTTAGAAGTTTGTTCCTCCTCAAATATTCTCTATTGTTCAAAATAAATCTTATCTGACTGTGTTTTTTCCTCCTGTTCATGAGTTTAAGTACATCTATCCAACAAGAGTAATTTTGTTATCTTTTTCTGAAAGAAAAAAAAAATGTTTAAATTGTTATTTTCTTTTTTTTTTGCAACAAGAAAAGAAAGTGAAGAATCAATATCAAAATTAACCATAAATATTTTTTGAGGTAATATGATGTGGTAAGCACAGTCATTTATTCTTCCTGTATTTAAAACCTTGATTGTTTTTGCTATTAAAAATTATTTTTATCACAATTTTGATCACCACATCATAAATCTTGTGTATTGCCAGGATATTTCCTGTTCTGTTTTGGTCATGGTTTATTGCTTTTTCCATTACTAATATGCATCTGTTTATGATCAACCTTAAAAAGAAAAATAAAAACCAAACCAAAGCGCATCTATAAGCACTAGACCAACAGTGAGCACGAAGGTGGCATCGTGGCTGTGCAGCTAAGCAAGAAAGATTGCTCCTCAAGGAACACAAATGCCCTCTATTCCCCCTGCCCCAGTACAGGTTGAGAAATAGAAGCACCTCTCAGGGATGGGGATATTGTTGTCAAAGGAAAGCATTTTCTCATTTTGAGATGTCCACTATTGTTGTTACACTCGCTGTTAAACACACTTCAGTGTAGGCGCCTCTGCTGGACAAGAGTACAGAAATCCTAATTAAGGAGCTTCATTTTTGCCACAAAAGGAGCTAGATTGTAATGCAATCTTTTGTCCTATAATTAATGACGGGTGAGATATTGTTTAAACCACTAGCAACACCACTGCAAGAAAATGTGAGTAATTAGCATAGCTTAACACCCAGAACAGCACCAGTTGCTGTTGTTAGTACCAGTAGTGTGTCGATTTAAAAAGAAAAATCAAAAGAGCCACCTTAAGCAGGTCAGCTTTTCTTTTGAAAGGTAACGTTAATCACACATTTTTTAAGTGATCCACTATACTACTGGCTATCTCATTCTTTCAGATTTTTTTTTTAAGATTGAAAGTAGCCTATATCAAACCCCACGTATACTAAAAAGTCACAGCAGCAAAATAGCAAGCAACCACCCATTTTCTAAAGTGGGAATTTGCTGATCCATTTAAGTGTTTAATTTGCATGGGGTAGGTGCACACTATCTGTAAGTTAGTAAAGACCATCTGCAATCTCATGCCTAGTGTTATATTACAGAAAGACCAGTGATTCAGGAGGTCATATCACCCTTAAGGAAGGCAGAGGAAGAGGCCTGAATGTGAAAATGGAGATGAAATTTTTGACCATCAGCTACCAAATGCTGGTGGAACTGGTATCGCTCCAACTTCTGAGGGATAAATGCCAATCTACAGAACTGAAAATCTTATTTTCTAAGATCGATTTGTAAACCAGAACTAACTCATGTGATGGGAGAGATAACAAGAAAAGGAAAGACATTACTTTCAGATTACCTGCTTGTGAACAGAGAATGGATGCTGGATCTGCATGGAAACCACTTGGACTAATGTTCCTGGACCAGAGTGTAAATATGTCATATATGTGGCGTAATTGGCATGACTGATGTCATCACTGGTGTTACCAACATAAACTAGGCTGCTTCATGACTAAGATGACAGGAACAGGATTCCGCATGGACTACCAATTGTGTGTGCAAAGGTGTTTTATACAGTTTGGGTACAAAGAAATTCTTCATCTCAAAAAAAAAATACAAAATAATATAAATAATGCTAGGAGTTGTCATTCTGAGACAAGAGTTATTTGGCTCAAGTCTATACTAACCATTAAATTAGTACTTTAATTAGTCTTTAAGGTGGCTCGTGTAAAATCTTTAGTAGGCTTAGAACTTCAGTTGCCTTGCTTTTAGGTTAGCTAAGCTGGGTGACATCCAATGTGAATGTTATCTTTTTTAGCCTCAGAGCTTGCTTAGTCATCTTTGCACAGAAAAGACACAGATCATGAAAAAACACCCTCATTTTCTTCCTATCAACAGTATTGAGTCAAAGATCACAAGGGAGAAGACAGGCCTTTTAAAGTCTTCTTTCAAGACTTGCATTATCTAGGTGCAAGAAGACCAGAAATGTTTACTCCTTTTTTTTACATCATCAAAAACATGCTTATCCAGTATGTAATGTTGAAGGTCTTTCATGTTAAGTAGTGTATTCCTAATGGTATAAAGTTGGAAATCAATACATTGTTATGTCACTAAATAGTAGTACCTGGTAAGAATGTAAACTCACTGTATTAATAAAAACCACAGTAAATCCAGGTGGCTATTCACTTCTATGGCCCATGTTAATGTTACCAACGACAAATCTATTAAAATAACAAATTAGTTCAGAAAAAGAGAAAGCAAAAATAACAACTCTTTGGTAAATAAAAAAGTCTTTAAGAGATGAAAGGAAGTTATCGGGTCCAGGTAAAGAAGCGTCTTTCATTATGTTCATAGGAATATGATGTGCATATTTGCATAGCATAGAGGCGCAAAACCTGCACAGAATGCGTGTGCAGATTTCACCAGTGAGCACCTAAAGTGATCATAGACATGAGTGCAGCCACACACTTTAATCTGAAAGTATTTAAGTTAGTTAAACCTATAATTCAGTGGTTTTTCCATGTTCAAAATTCTGTTTGGGAAGGCTGGCAGTTGAACCTTGCTCTCCATGCTTGTGATTTCTGGATTGCAGTCCATGTTTAAAAATTCCATCTACAGCTGCACACAGGCACATGCAGACAGTCTGGAGGGAGCAGGTGGAGGAAAGTGGGGGATGCCTAATTCCTGCCTTGGCTCTGCAGCAGCACAGAATCAGCGTGAGAGAAATGCACACCCAGGTGGGTGTGAGGTCACCTGCCTTGGCCTCAATGTTCAGCAGGAGCTCTGTCTCTGCTGGCAGCCTGGAGAGCCTCCAGAGCACCCTGAGACCTGGCTGCCGACTGCCACCTCGCTCAGGGTGTCCTGCACAGGACCAGGCTGCGGGAGCCTCCCAGCTACCTGGCAGGAGATGCTCCAGAGGCTTCCAGAACCATGGGAATGCTGCAACATCAGAGACAATTTTGGCTTTGTTACTAGCATTGCACTGCCCGCGAGCCTGGTGGGAGGCAGCGCGGGAAGAGCAGAGCCGGCATTCGGCTTCCCTGGCTGGATGGGCAGCTGGCATCCCTGAAGCCAGCACAGATAAATGCATCTCCTGTTAGTGGTGATGTGAAGGGCTTTTCACAATGAAAGCAACCTAATGAAAAATGATCAACAGCAAAGCGTGTGCGAAGAATGCATGACATTTCAGTCTGCGTATGTGAAGTCGGAACAAAACATTGCCAGCTGCAAGTAGGTAGGAAAATTCACCTGAACAGTACTTTGCACGGCACATTCCTTATGATAGCTTTAGAGAAACCCAAATACCAGTTAGGAAATTTTCTTAAGTAAAATCTGGCACCTTTTACATGGTGACCAAACGCACATACAGATCTGTATGTGTATCTCATATGATTAGAGATCGCACACCTGCCTTTCCCAGCTGCTGCTGGAATGAGGACTTTAGAATGCAACCAAAAGATATTTTCCTTCCCAACCACACACTGCTTGGCTAAAAAAACTGATAGGTAACACTAACCTTTAGCTTGTCATAGCGGTCACTTAAAGCTGCCACCTGATGGTCACGGTGTCGCCCGACCAGTTTACACAAGGCACAGATTAACTGGTCATCAGTCACACAGTACATGTTAACTTTCTCATCCTCATGCTCCAAGCACATTAATCCTCTGATGTGAGAGTCCGGGATGGGCTCGATGAGACGGTGGCCGGTGAAGGGCTTCTTGTTGGGGTGAGTGGCTTTCAGGCACTCCTCGCAGTAGGACACCTCGCAGGTAACGCAGGTTTTCACCGCCTCCTGGGCAGGGTCCTGGTCGCAGAACTGGCAGAGCACCTTCTCGCAGGACGACATGCTGTTGTTATCGAACGCCCGCTCCCGGCGGGTCTCGCTGGGGGAGTTGGGCCCGCTGACGGAGGCTTTCTGAAACCTGTCGATGATGTTCTGCAGGGTGACGTTGCGCTTGAGCCCGTCTAGACCGCGCTGGCTGAGGGTGATGACATAGCGGCAGGTCGGGCACTGGAAGGCGGTGATAGACTCCACCGGCTCGTTGGTGGCGCAGTGGGAGACCAGGATGCGGTGCGCGCAGTTGAAGCAGAGGCTGTGAGCGCAAGGCAGCAGCAGCGGGTCTTCAAACAGCTCCAGACAGATAGGGCAGGTCAGTTCTGACTCCAGTGTTTCCATCTTCAGGCAAAGCTTTCCTGTGGCGTCAGCGAAATCCAGGGAAGCTGATCAGCTATCTGGAAACACATGTAAAATTCGATTAGGCAAGAGAAAACATGAGGGGTCAGCCATGGGGGGTTGTCAACTTTCGCCACCGCTCCCTGGTCTATCAACCCACCATGCCGGGCGGGAGAGCAATCAAAAGTTTTGAACCTGCACATACACACATCAAGGTATTTAATCTGTTTTATTCTATCCCCCCCCACCTTCTGTTCACTTAAGAATGAAAAAGCCCAAATGTTCTTTTTTTTTTCTCTTTTCCTTTCTCTTTTATGCAATCAAGAATGTTTCCGTGCATTATTAAAACCCAAAATGATGAACTTCAAAAGCCTATTACAGCAAAATTAGATTTCTTTTGCAGATGCTGCTTTTGGCTTCACTCATCTATTAGTAAAACTTTAAAAAAAAAAACTACCTTCAATTTTGTATGGCATTGTGCAAGGGTTAGTCCAGAGTATTATAATTGATAAATTTAAAATCTCTATTAGCATTGAGTTATTTTATCAGATTGAATGTTTCACTTGCTGCTATAGGAATCGCACAGCATTTAGAGTACTTATTAGAGTACTTATACTGTGTTTATTTATGTAAATATATATATATGGATTTAAACACAAGGAATAATGTTTTCTAGTACGTGATATCCTACATATATGTATGATATATATCATGTATACTCTTATGCATTTCAATAACACATGAAGCTGTATTTATGGGCAACTATATCTTTGTGCATATATACCTGCATACATATGCCAAAAAGTATATCAATACATGTTTGTAATAAGATTAATATAGCCACAAGGAGCACACAGTGCTGTAACTGAAATGCCTAAATGAAGATGAATTAGGTACATGCCAAACAGTAGCTTAGCCCAAATTAGTGATGATCCCAATCTCTAATACAAGAAAAGCCTCTAGACAGTAGGACAGTAAAATGTAGTGAGATAGGGAAATGTGTGATTTGCTTAGGAGGAGTCTGTGTAAGTATCCACTTTTGTATGAGTACTCTCTACTGCTAAAACATACGAACTACGGCTTACTTTAGTGACCTTATTAAACCCCTGAAGTGGATTTGGACTAGAATCAACGATTTTTTGAATGGAGGGCATGGGATTTTCTGGAGAAGGCAGCAGTATACCCCCATCAGAGATCAACTGAAACTTCATTTTGCTTCTTTTCCTGCGCTCAGCGTTACAGAGAATGGTTTTGAAAGAGTCGCCCTACGCGACTCTCCCTGCCTAAGCTCCCGTCAAGGGCCCGTCACTGCCGCAAGCAGACGGGTCAGTGAAGCAGAAGCAAAAGCTATGCTTCACACTCGCAGAGCTGTACCTCTTCACAGTACAATCTATTTAAGCTTTGTTGCTCATAACTGAGGATGGCTTCAGATGGCACAGCTGCATCGTCTTTACACTGTAAAGTCATTGTTCAGTTGTGTGAACTATTGACTCCTCCCCTGGCCAGGGAAAAAGACAGAAGGACAAGAATCCCCCACAAACAAACCTTGATTCATTAAGGGTGAGAAAAGCCCAGGGCTCATTAGCAGCCTTGGGAACCAAGCAGGCTTGAATCTTCTGTACTTCATGACAATTAGCGTGGGGAGCATGGTGGCAGTGACAGGAATGCTACCTATAACCCCAACATGAACCAAGCAAAAAGGAAAGTTCAGCTAACAGAGGCAAGGTTCAGACTTCACCATTGGTATTTAGTCCTCCTTGCTGTGTGGGAAGAGCAGCAAGGCGTCTGTTCCAGAGGTATGCCTAGAAATGAGGATACTTTGCCTCTTTGCACTAATGCGTCCTTTTATTCTGCCAAGAAATCTGAGCATTTAAAAAATGCACTGACCCCATCACAAAATTTGCTTTTCTGTATCTTCCATGATGCTAATCTTTTTTGAAATAAAGTTCAGTTTGCCAAAGACTAATTCATTTATAGCTATCCATCAGCTGCCATAATTGCACGGTGCATCTGGTCAAAATTAAAGGTCTGGAAATTTAATATAAGCAGGAAGACAACTCCCTTCTCAGCCATAGCCATACAGCAGAGAAGAGACTAAAGCCTTTTCTGCAAATGAAGACCAGTTTGTCTTTCCCCCTCTTCACTCTCTGTCTCACAGAAGTCCCAAAAGATCAAAATCTCATTCACATTGTTTGAATCCCTTCCACACCACAACTGTCTACCTCATCATCCTCTTATCCTGCAGGCTGAATACTGGAAAAGGGAGAACGGGATTTGGGTTTGGCAGGAGACAATGTTTAAAAAGACAAACTAATCATTTCTCATCTATTGGCAGCCCTGTGAAAACCTGCCAGCTTTAAAGGTTTCTTTCTCAGGACCATGTTCAGAATACAGGGCTTTCTTCTATGCTAATCTCTCAGTACAAAATTCCTTCTCCTCTTCCATGTGCCAAACAGTTTCATTCATTCCGTTTCCTTCTTAAAGCTTTTTTTTTAAAGCAAAGGCTTTTTTATGGTACTCATATCAAAGAGATGTATAGATAAACAGCTAGAAGCAGCAGAAAAACATTTGCATCACTGCCTCACAGAAAGATGTTTGAATCACCATTGGGGCTCTACGCAAATAGCACCATCTCAATTGATGACTAACTCTAATCTATCTGACCTGAATGAGCAGCAGCTGAGCCCTAACTAATGCTATTCAGTATGAGCAAGGGTGCCAAAATCTGATCTCAGACTTTAACGTCTTGGAATAAGAACCTATCTTCCAAGGTAAACAAAGCTGAGCACACTGATAGAGACCAAAAAAATTACATTTCCCCCTTTTCTTTTGCAGTTGCAAGTAAGTCAAAACACAGCACATCTAGGACTGAATAATGAATCCTTTGAGAGCCTCTCACCAAAGACAGGCTGCATTTCTGGACAATCAAATGACTACTCTAATCCACTGAATTTCTGCTTTAACATTTAAGTGGGTGCCTAAAGCACACACAGATCAGTGTGCTGATGATCCAGCTACAAAATCTTTCAAACTCACTGGCCCTTGCCTTAAGGTTTCATACTGAGTTCGGGTTTTTCTTTCTTCCTTGAGAATGGCAGACAATTCATAGCTACAGAAAACTGGAAGAAACACAATATGCATTGTTTATGTATGCATATAAAATGGAATACAACTTAAGGTTGTATTCCATATTCAACCTAGCTCAAAAATTGAAATGCACATAGCCTCCAGACGCAGAAAGGAATGAAGGAATTTCAAGTACACAATTTCCTATTTGCAAAAATACGGAATTATTGTCAGAAAATTATATTATGAAAATGTTACTGAAATGACAAGAGTTATTTTTCTACCCACAGGAGGTAATTTTAAGAGCAGATATCAAAATAAAAGAGACTGACAAAAGAAATGTTATTTAAACAACAAAAATATACTTAAGTAACTTTGAATTTGTGACATCCCCGTAGGTGCATAATGATTAGTTATGCAGTATATTGTAAATATGCACTAAATAAAATCTCAACATCAATGTAGTTTATTGCAAGATTCTACTAGAACTAAAGGAATTAGCATCTCTGTACCTCTGCTTACAAGCATGACATATTTTGTAGGTGGCATTAACACCTTCATTTTCCAAGACATAGTCCAGCAGCAACTGGGGTAACTTCTGAGATAACAGATTTAGGAAGGGGGAAAAAAGTTATTGCAGAGAAGCAATTGCAATGAGAGAAGAAAGGAGTGAGAGTATGTGAGAGAAACAGCTCTGCAGACAACAAGGACAGTGAATAAGGAGAGGGAGGAGGTGCTCCAGGTGCAGATTTCCCTGCAACTTGAAAAGAATAAGATGAATGTGTCTTTACAAACAGATGGTGTAAATCTGCTTGTAGATTACGGCCCAGGGACTTGTAGGTAGGGAAGTAACAGGAGAAATTATGAGTTTCAGAAAATACAACCAATGGGCATGGAAAGATGCTCAGCCAAGGTCATGCTAAATTTCTGAACTTTGAGAAGAAGAACAAAGATTTAATTGAGCTATGTTATACACAGGGTGTGTGGGGGTTTGTGTGTGCATGTTAAGGGGAATATATAATAGGTGAATTGGGAAGTCTGCATCTTCCAAGTACCTTAGCCAATGGGGAAATGGAACGAGTGATGGGGCCAGGAAAATTGGGCTGAAAAGGAGGCTGTGTCCTCCAGCAATTTGAGACTCAATGGAGAAATTCCCTATGGCCTCTCCCTTGTTCATGAATAAAGTTACTTCTGTCACTTTTCTGGACATAAACCTCTGGCAATGAGACTTTTTCCACACAAACCCATGGTGAAGACCATGATGAGGTAGGCTGTCCCCCTGCAGTGTTCCATGGTGGAGCTGAGATCCACCTGCAGCCCTTGCAGGACTTCACACCAGAACAGGTGAGTGCCTAAAGGAGTCTGTGACCCTGTGGGAAGCCCAAAGTAAAGCAGATTCCTGGCAGGACTTGTGACCCTGTGATGGACCAGTGTTGGAACAGCCTGTTCCTGAAGGACTGCACATTGTGGAAGGGACCCACACTGGAGTTTGTGAACAACTGTACTCTATGAGAAAAACTCATGTTGCAAAAGTTCTTGTAGGAACTGCTGTCTCCAATGGGATGGACCCCACACCAGAACAGGTGAAGAGAGTAAAGAGCTCTCCATCCAAGGAGGAAGGAGTGGCAGAAAAAAATGTGTGATGTAGTGGCTGCAACCCCCATTCCCCATCTCCTACTGCTGCTAGGGAGAACAAGCAGAAAAATCAGAAGTGAAATTAAGCCTGGGAAGAAGGCGTGGAGGAGAAGGTATTCTGTTTCTCATTGTCTGGTTCTGATTTCATGGGTAAAAAGTTAAATTAATTTTCCCAAGTTGATTCCATTTTGCCTATGACAGTAACTGGTGACTGATCTCTCTGTGTCCTTACCTTGACCCATCAGCCTTTTATTGTATTTATTTTCCTTGCTCAGCTGAGGAGAGGAGTAACAGAGCAGCTTTGGTCAGCACTTGGCATCCAGCCAGGGTCAACTCACCACAAGTATAAAACTACAAT